GGGGAGTGGGGAGAAAAGACGATGTATACCAAAACAACAACCAGCGCTTCACCGTTACGCATACGTGGACACGTTGTTGCCCCCTCTTCTCTCCTGCCCCCTTCATCGCTCCCTGCTTGACCTCCTGCTTAAGTTGATCTGATCAGGAGAGAGGGTTTGGGGCTGACAAGCCATGACGTGGCAGATGGCTTTCTTCGACTTTGAATCGACCAGTGGGGAGAGCACGATTGCTCCACGCAGATAATTCACTGAATAATGATTGTGCGTTGGTGGCGCAGGGGCTCGAGAGAGAGAGGGCATGGCTGCCGAGAGATGCTGAGAGGCGGAAACAGCTCTGAAGATCCGCAAGGGTGTTGATCAATGGGAAACTCAGCGTGAGTGAGAGAACAGGCGCAGGAGGCTCGCTGATCCACAGAGTGAGAGAGCGCGCGCGCGTGAGAGAGAGAGAGAGAGAGACTTCTCGTGTCACACACCCCGCGCTACATGTGCTAACGGACACCAGGCCGTTATTCTTGCTGGTACTCGAATAACAAACTCTCTGGTTCAGCGACGACTGAAACATATTCTCTGATTCGCGCTGTATTTCCCCTCATCTCCTTCCTTCGAGAATCACCCTACCTCTCAATATCTCTCCGCAACCTGTTCACTCTCTTGTTTTTCGGCGCCAAAAAAACCGTTACACTCTCTCTGCTATATTGAACACGTCTCTGGATCAGAAACGACTGGTACACACACTCTCTGATTCACGCTGCGTTTGCCCTCAATGCCTTCCCTCGCAAATCTCCAGCATCACTCTGCCTCTTACCATTCCTCCCACTGCATGCCCGCCCTCTTGGGAGAACGGTTCTCCCCCACAGTCTCTCTGAAGACGGGCGTTCGAAGGCGTGTGGGTCAGTGGGGCCGAGCGTAGAGGCAAGAGATCGTTCTGTGTCGTGGTGATTCGCGCCGGTGGATGTGCTGAGGTGACTGGCATCATGGACCTGGTGGACCTGGCCTCAGAGCGAGGTCGGCAGCTCGTCAACTCGGTGGCAGCCTGCTTCGGCACGTTTCCGAAGATTGCCGGCAACAATGAGGGCACCGTGTATCAGTTTAGAGACGTGATTAGTGCACGCTGGGACGACGTCGCGCAAGCCTGGCGGTTTTGAGGCCGAGGCCTCGTACCCTGCGGGCCCGGCCATGGGTATCATGACCATCACTGGACTGGTGCACCCGGACGAGAGCCCCATCTTTGGTCCTGGATCAGGCGTGCTAAGATGCTCAGATCTGCGCGTAGACCCCACCGGCATTAGCTAATAATGATGATGAGGCCCCGCTGGCCCTGTTCAGGCTCTGACGATGCGGTGGATGGCAAAAAAATCAAAAAAAAAAAATTATTAATTGATGGAGTCACAAGTTCTGCCGCCACCTCATGAGCAGCTTGATCAGACCCCGTGAGCGGCGCCATTGTCAGCTGCCCCATCGACGGAATAAAGGGCCATCGCTTGAGGAACGCACGAACTAAACAAAGTGACAACGACGACAACGGCGACAACAACAATAACAACACACACACACACACACACACACACACACACACACACAATCATGATGAAGGAAAGGCAATCAGATGGAAGAGTCGTCGTCCGACTCAGAGTCCATGTCAGCTTCCCGGATGAGCTGCATGGCCAAACGCTTGGTGTGTTCCGATGACGTCAGGTGAGCAATGGTGTGGCGACGACTGGTAATGTGCGTTGGACGACGGCGTACTGCCGTACGCGTGGCCCCCGCACGCTCAATAACATTGCTTAGATCGCTCATATTGCGTTCCTTGTCACGCATCTCCCGGACCAACTGCAGGCACAGACATGCAGATGATGAGGGCTACAGGTGGACCGTGCACCCACCAACGCGGATCGCACGACCAAGAGTGAGTCGGTCCCACTGCCAACTTACCCCTGGTACTTGGTCACTGGTCACAGCTTGAACGTCTGCCGCATCCAGCTCCAGAGCCATCTCTTTGACCCAGCCATCTTTAAAGTGCATGCTGGCATCCTTGATGATGAAGGTGTCGAATCCTAGAGAACCGCAGGAGAAGGGCACCATTGAGCGCGCGATGATGCGATCAAAGTCCGTCGACAGCCCCCTTTATTGCAGCAAAAACCAAATGGTATGGATGTTGTTGCGAGAGGCCAGGTTCATGGTAAGCAGCGGCCATACCGTAGGTTTTTGCATCGCGCGCCGTGCGGCCAACACCAACATCGACGCCCACACCACACACAAAGAGGCGCACCACGTCGTTGTCAAACAAATAGCGCAGCAAGCTAAACAAATTTGTCACAGGCACCAGAAATTAAAAAAGCACAGGGCAAGTTGGAGAACGGATGAGCACAGGGCAAACGTGAAAACTTGAATCGAGGGCAGGTGCGCTATGGGTGCAGGTGCCATCTGTCATACGTACTTGGTCTGATACTTGCGGTTCTCATCCCAAAAGCCGCTAAACTGCTCCGTTTCGGGGTGTCGCCCAGTCACAATGACGTAGTCATCCATCTTACAAGTCTGTACAAGGGCAGGCGCAGGTGTCATCGGCATCAGCATCAGCTTGATGCAGCGTTCTCGGCCCTTGTGTAGGGAAAGGCAGGAGTGGTGTGGCATACCAGTTCGGAATATGGCTTGACCCCCTCGGTTCCCACGACACAGTGCTTGGGCCAAGTGGCCTCATCCACGTGGGGAATGTGTCGGCTCATTGCCACGTGTGTATCCTCGAGCGTCTCATCCGTGTCGGCATCAGTCTCTGACTGATAAAAGGCTTTGGCCCGTGCCGTTAGTGACAACGCCGTGGGCGTCGTTCCTTCGGGGGCAAAGGAGCAATGATTGGGCGGATGGGACTCTTCCACGCGAAAAACCTGTGCCAAAAGACACACAGCGCACCATGAGCCACTGTCAGCGCGCTGACGAGAAGGGTGGTGAAAACAACGGGCATATTCGACGAACGTAATCAACGTGGCCTCGCAGCTGGTCAATGAGTTGGCACACCTCGCGGGCGCGCGAGGCATCCTATGGTCAGGCACCAAGCAGACAAGCAATGCTTAGCTCGGCGCAGGCGCAACCATCGGGAGTTGAGTTCACTGCGGTTTGTCTTTGCTGCTTGGCTCTCAGCGTGATTGGCGAACCTTGGCGGGCATGCTGCCAGTGATAAAGTCGTTCTGCATGCCGACAATGATGAGAGCCGACTTGACGTGGGCACAGTGACCCGATTCGAGCAGCAGGCTGAGACGATTGAGTCGGCAAAACGTTGCAAACGTCTCCATGGGGATGTCGTCGTCGTGGTCCGGATCCAGCAACGTGGCTACCTCCCGACTAGCCGCGGCCACATCACTATGAAGCTCGGTTGTCTACGACCCTCGGCCAGAATTCGGCACGTGAGACGGCAAGGCTGCGGTGATAAGTGGGAAACCCCATCAGGCGCGCCTTCTCACCATGTTCAGGGCTTGATTGAAACACATATCCTGGAGGATAAAGGACACGGTCTCTCGACTGGCGCTCCGATTCCTATGGGGACAAGTCAGTCCATCAGCTCGAATGCAAATGGGAGGCGTCACAGCAGTGCAAGACACCAGGTACTGACTGATAGACACCGTAACGCTTAAGCATTTGATGCAACTGAGATAAAAGCAAGCAACGAGCAAGACAAATCCAGTGAGTGCGCGTTCAGCACAACCATGCCTGCAGGAAGACCGCATGCGAGTCGCCCCAACTAAGGGGTATGGTCCACACCTCCTCAAAATCCGTGATGTAGTTGCGGTTGGGCGATTCTGAGTCGATCAAACGCATGAGTGACTTCCAGCGGCCTTCCACTAGTTGATGAATGGCCAAGTGATAACTAGTGTCAAGTCATGCCACAACACATTGACAGGAAATTGAGATTGACTTTAGGCAATTCTCGAAGCATGGTGGAGAGCCTACACGCAGCACACGCTTGCAATCATGATGCCAGAACGCCAGCATACCCAGGAACATGGGGGGCATGGCCTTGTTCGGCTTGTAGCCGCTTCCAAACGCGGTCCACAGACTTGTGGTCACCCTCTGCGTGGCTCAATCAAGGTGCCAGGCCCGAATATGGTGAGTGCCCGACAAAGACCTGGCCACAGCCAGCAGATGGCTGCCGATGAGTCACAGGCAAGTCGTTGTCGTACCAGTCTCGATGACGCGCCCGTTTTCGTCAATGGCCAGGCGCTCTAAAACAGCCTGTGCGGACCCATCAAGCAAGTCCATGAGCCCAGATACAGGTGGTGGACAACATCAGCAAGGATGCGCCAGGCTAGCCGCGTCCGGTTCTATTTAGATCGTACCTTGTAATACTTGTCTGGCAATCGGCCACAGTCGGAGCCAGGACGACCCACACGACCTGACAAGCCCACAACCAAGGCACGGCGTTCAAGGCCCAAGGTCGTATGCGCAAACTGAAGAACGCTAAGCAGGTTGGCTGATTTTTGAAACTGAAGTCGTTCATGTTCGGCAGGAGAAAAAGGAGCAAGACAAGCTCATGAGGAGAGCAAGCGCGTTACGCAGGGAAGAGCGGATGTGGGTGCAAAAGCTGGAGGGACACACCTCTTGGTAGACGTTGGTCATGAGGGCAATGAGAATGTTGAAGAGAATGATAACGGCTACGCAACATCGTGTATTGCACAAGCATGCAAGCATAAGTTTTAAACTGATTCGCAACAAACACACAAGCTGCAGA